TGTGTCTCTGCCGATGTCCAATTTCCCTGTCTGTATAAGGACAGTGGTCGTGGTATTAGAGCCGCTCTAATCAGCATGAACCCACCTTACATTGATTACAGCTTCAATGACTCTCTTTCCAAGTATGGTCATGTTCACAGGCTCCATGTGCACATGAATTTTAGGGGGACAGTATTCACTGCACGAGATAATGAGTTTTCTGTGTTTGAGGTCTCTCTTCGCAGTAAGTTTTGGATTGTCAGGGGACAGTACTATTCCAAGGCTACAGTCATCACTTGCCCGTGCAGGTGGAATGAATATGATGATGGAATTATTGTCATTAATGGTCCAGCTGAAAATATATCACAGTTTAACTTACTTGAGGGAAGAACAAAGGCCCCGAGGGTTATAGGTCTTATGAGTCGTGCTGTTCAGTGGTCCCCGAAGTAGACTGGGAAATGGCTGTCTTCTGTTACAGAGCTTAGAGTCTTTGCTGTGCTCTTTTGCCAAGGACTGCAATTCTATCCCTAGAATCTCAGAAATTTTGAGCTGAAAGAGACCTTTGGTATTATCTACTTCTAATCTAACCCTCTCATTTTACAGATGAGGTCTTTAGGGCCCAGAAAGGTTAAGTGACTTGTGCAAGGTCACTGGCTAGGAAGGAGCACAGCCGGCGCTGAGACCCAGGTCTGAGAACACCTAGATGAGAGCCTGTCCCAGCGCAGTGGCCGTCTCTCCCTGCACCTGTGCCTCCGTCTTAAAAAATGCCCATGGCCTGGAAAGAGAAGCCCAGGTCCTCGCGCTGGGAGAAGCGCCAGGCCAGCATGTCTTCAAGGCCGAGGGCGGCACTGAAGGCTCCTTTACTGTTGGGTGTTTGGCAGCACCTTGGGTTTCTTTGTTAATGTAGAGACTACAGATGGAATTTTAACTACGATTTACCGCATCTAAACCCCAGTCATAAAATGACTGGGAGGGCAGCAGGCGAGGTGTAGGGCTGCGGTGTGAGGAAGGACGGATCGGGTAGGAAGGGGGTGGGGGTGGGGGGGTACGTCTTCCCATCTTCCGCGTACCCGGCCCTCCAGCCATTCTGGGCGACTTCCCTACCTTGACTGTGTGATGTTCATTTTCACTGGATTTCACCTGCCTGGAAAAGAGAAGGGTATACAAAAGAGTGCAATGAAAGCTAAGTTTATGTCTGGAGAAAATTCAGAATATTAATATGTAGCAGCAGGTTGAACTTGGAAAGACAGAACAACATAAAGTAAAATGCAGCAAGATAAAATTAACTTCAAGAGTTTTGTTCTAAAATTGCCAGTTAATTATTCACTTAATACATATATATACACACATATCTCTGACAGACACACATACACATTCTCACACTTATACACACTTCTAAATCCTAAGGCCCAGTTTTAGGTCTAGCTGCTCTGTAAGTCCTCCTGCCGTTAATTGTTTCCTGGACCAATTATTTGTGTCCCCAAGTTTCAAACATATATTGCCTTAACAGAAACTTCTCCCCGGTTAAAATGAGAATTCTACCTAATTGCAGTCCCATGCAATGCTTAGTTTAGTGCTGGGCACACAGTAGGTCGTCAGTTCCTTAAACCCACTGAAGATCAAGGGCTGTGACCTTAGAGACATGGGGTAGAACTGCCCTGCTTCTCTGGACTTCAGGTTCAAGCCATGGATCAAGGCTGGATATTTGGACCATAGTTACAGACCTCTCCTAGGATTGCCTTCACTGAATTGAATTCTGTTTTAAACACTTGCCATTTTCAAGGGTTCAGTAAACTTACTATTGCATTTTGCTATTAAAAAAAGTTGTAGGAGGATCCTGCTTGTCACATCACTCTCGGTCCCCTTATATAAAGTCTCACAGATTTTTTTTGTATTCCACAGCTGAAAAGCCCTGCTTCCTGAGTATCTGTCATGCTTGCTGGGGCTAGAGCACAGTACACACATTGGGAGAAAGCCCCGAAACTAAACTCAGGATCGATTCCTAAGAATTGACAGGTAGCCACATTCAGATTCATAAGAGCTTTGATAAGAGAAACTTCCATCCCACGAGCGAGCGAGGCAGCTGCCCTGGGGTGGCCGGTGGGTTGTGAAGAACCCACACCCCTCCCAGGACAGGGTCCCTTTTTTTACAGAAAATTAATAGTGAAACCAGTGACCTCCTAAGTTAACAGATAACCTCAGGCAATTATCACACTCTATGCATTCATTAACCTCCCTGGGGGCATGGCGTGTGTCTTTGGGCCGCATTCCAGTGCTCTGGGTAGTCCGCCACGCCCGAGGCTCCAGGGAGTTGAGAGTCCAGCATTTCCCAGATGCTTTACTGCACCTCACTGAGATCCCCTGCGCAAGTTAGCTCTCCTTCCTTTTTGGAGAACTGTGGGTCTGATTGGGCTTCCCTCTTTCCCTTGCCATTCGAAACCTCAGAGGCATTCTAGGCATACTGGCATAGATAATTGTGTATGTTGACATAGGTATTTTCCTTGTTCAGAGTTTCTTAATTTTTTAAATTTTTCTAGTTGCCATTTTAAAGCTTTTTTCTAATAACAAAAATATTTTTAGTCATTAGGAATTTTGGAAAAGTTGCCTATAATCTAATAACCCAGCAGTTGGAGCATCCACAGAGACTTGGGTATATAGTATTTCCTTCTGTGTCATTAGAAACTGCAGACTAAAGGTGTCTAGAAATAACAGCAGCTGGAACATGCAAGGGCTTATTATCTCACGTAAAAGGAAACCTGAGCCTGATGGTCTGGGTCTGATATGGTGGCTCCAGACACCATCAGGGACCCCAAACTCCTGTCTTTCTGCTCTGCTGTCCTTTTAATGTGGCTCTGAGAGCAACCTCAAAGTCACCGCATGGCCCAAGATGACTGTTGGAGTTGCAGCCCGTTGTCTGCCTCCCCGGCTGCGGCCGGGCTGCAGGCCAGCTCACTCCCTGCCCTGAGGGCGCCTCCCCAGAAGGCGGGCCAGCCCCTCCAAGGTGGCCAGAGTTCAGTCCCCTGGACTCAGGACCCACCGCCCTACAGAGGACGCTGGGGTCCGGAGTCGTTTTTTTTGTTTTTGTTTTCCAACAAGGCACGTGTTCCAGGTTTTCATTACAAGGAAGGAGGAGAGACTTCGTTTGGGGAAGCAGTCAGCAGACTGCCACGTTTCTGAGTCTTCCCCTGCTCATTGCATATCTCCGCAGTGTTTTGTTGAAGTGATCGCAAACAATTTGTGGAATGAGTTTAGTTGTAAACAAACAATGTAAATCTCAGTGAGTAGAAGGTACTACATCATTTGTCACCCTGCCTTTCCACGAGCCTTTTCCATAACTTGGTCTTTTATTTATACACTGACAGTGTATGTCTTGAGTACTCAATCCATTCTATCTTATCCAGGGCTAGAAGGGGCCTTAGGTAGATTTCTGCCACAATTGTGTGTTCAGATGCCTGCAGGAAGCATTCAGATCCCACAGGTGGCTAGAGGCCAGGGGTCAGTGTTGAGGACCCCCACAGCAAGCAGTGGGGCCGCGGGTCCCTGGAGAGAGCGTGCCCTGTCTAATCGGGGCCGCTGAATGGCACTCAGCTGCATTCATTGTGGTCTTTTTTATTTCCCCAAAAAGAAGCCAGGAATCCAGATTTTTATCACCCCAGAATCTTCCAGCATTTATAACTTGACAGCTAATAAATTTAAATTTTAAAAATGCCAGCCAAATGCAATGCCATCCCGTGGGCTACCAGTTTTGGACCCGTCCCTTGTTTTTCAGGCGATGGTGAAGCCCTGGGGAGGTCCAGTGGCTTCTGATGCGGCTGGAGACTTTGCTCTTTGGTCTCCCCTTCAACAAACCCTGGTCCCCTGTGACTCATCTGTCTCAGAATACAAAGAAATAATAAAAAGTTGCAGTTGAGCAAGACTGCTCCAAAGGTTGAGCCTCCCCTTCAGCTGGCTCTCATTCTCTGTTTAAATCCTTCTGGGGTGGTGGCCTCGGAGAATGCGGGACTGGAGCCCAAGCCTAACTGTTCCACAGCTTCGTGATGTAGGGCAGCCTCTGGCATCTCTTCTGGGTTTTGTGCACCACCCATTTTCCATCTTGCTCCTCTCTCCCTCCCCCCTTCCACCCCCCCCCCCCCCCGCTTTCAGGTGGCGCAGCTGAGTTAAGATGAGGGTCTCTGGAGCCAGATGTGAGTCCTGGCTTCTCTGCCTCCTAGCTGTGTGACCTTGGCCAAATTATGCAAGTTTCCTATGCCTCAGTTTCCTTGCCTGCAAAATGCAGATACTAATGGTAGCTACCTCATAGGGTGCGTAAGGGTTTGATGCATTACTGTATGTAAAGTATGAAGAACAGGTTGGCACACAGATTGTGTTACATAAAAACCATTCTCTTATTTGTTTCCTCCACTGGTGTGGAAGCCGTGGATCTTAAGCACAGTGGGTCCGGCGCTGGCTCCCCACCTCAGGGGAGCGCTTGCAGCTCCTGGCGCCTCTCCACAGCCAGCCTCCTGCCCCAGCCTGGACCCGGACGCTGCAGGCCGTGCAGCTCCCCAGCCATCACTTGCAGTCCCGTCCTGTTTCTGTCACCGTGCTTTGAGCCTGTCTGTGCCCTTTTACTTTTCTCAGCTCATATTTTTCCTGTCCTTGATGGATGTTTGTAAGAGAAAGAATGAGTCACCCAACTGCTGTCTTGACCTAAAGCCTCATTAAGTGCTGTTGTACACAGAGAAATACCTGTCGGGCGTTTCTGAAGATTATATTACAAGATAAAGGGTAAAAGCAGGGTGAGTTTGCTGTAGCCAGAGTTCTGAGCACAGTAGATAACCTGTCCTGGAAATCAGAGAGACCACGCTCGTCTGTGGGTTGACAAAGGCTTCCCCCGGCAGGTTGGTTCAAACGGCCATGAGTGTGGCTCACATGTTAGTTACGGAAATCATCTTTTTCCCTAAGGACTTGAAATGCAGAGAAACGTAAACTGTGCTTGTATTTCCATTAAACTGCTTCTTTCTTGTCACCAATCTTTTCAGCTTTTAGGTAAATCTGAATAAGAGATCTGAGCTGACCGGCCCAGCTGTACAACCTTTCAAGGACAGTTAATATTTCCAGTAGAGAGGAACAAAGGACACAGGTAGGCATTGCCCAGACGCTTATTTTACTTCTTCCACCTCCCTCCTGTTCCTCAGTAGTGTGTGAAAGCGGGGAGGGAGGGGCCTATTTTATTTATTCATTATTATTTGCTAAGTCTGCTGTAGTCCAACAGGGAAATTGGTAAAGCCACCCGCTGCTGTCCTGTGTTCTCTTCCCAGCACCGGGGGCTGGAAAGAGCACCTGTTCCGGTTCCGTGTCACCAGTGTCACGTCACAGAAATGTGGAGCTCCTGCTAGTCCTTATGTTTAGCTCGTCCCTTGCTAGACTTAAAAATCCATGTTAATGAACGGTGTCATCTGTGATGTTTGTTTCTCGTTGGCTTGACTGCACCAGGTGCCAGGGCTCTGCTGAGGGGAGGGGCCAGCCAGGGCCACAGGTCGAACCCATGGAGCATCTTTGAACGCAGTGCTGTGGACTTTTTAGGCCATGACCCCTTGGAGAACTGATTGTCTCTGCAAACCCTCCGTCTCTGGAAAAGGGTGCATTACACAGACTTCCATAGCATTCCTGGGCCCTAGGATCCTTTAGAGCAGCGGTCCCCAACCTACTTGGCCCCAGGGACCGGTTTCATGGAAGACAGTTTTTCCATGGACTGGGGTTGGGGGAGATGGTTTCAGGATGATTCAAGAACATTACCTTCAAGCTCACCTCCTGCTGTGCGGCCCGGTCCTTAATAGGCCACAGACCGTTGGTGGGGACCCCTGCTTTCGGAGACCCACAGACCCCAAGTTAAGATTCCTTGTTTTAGTGATTTATAAATAGCTAGTCTTTAGGGGGACGTGTCCCTGGAGGTTGAGTTTTAAGGACCAATTAGAGTCAGCTCTTAAATGTTCAAAGGTGGTTGTAGCTGAACGTATATTTTGAGATCTAGCTTGGATGTGAAATTATGTTGGATAAATTTTTAAAAATTATTTTCTTGCCCTGACGGTGGAAGGTGAGTTAAGGAGCTGTGATCTTTGGTTGGCTTCCCCACTGAGTCGGGAGTCTTTGCCAGAGGTCAGCCGCAGTGTGGTTAGGTCCCGTGTTTGCCAAAGTCCCCGTGACGTTAGTTAGATAAGGGTGTCTGCATCCCCTCTGACCTGCCCTGGGTCTCAAGAGAGTTCTTTCTGTCGTGCCCCAGACGTGTCTTTGGGAGAGTGTTTTGTCCTGCCGGGTCTGTCTACGCTGTTGGCCACCCAAGTTCTCGGGCTGACTGTCTTTAGCAGAGGCTACTTGAAGCCATTCCCGGGGAAGCTGTTGCCATAGCTACCTTGGCTGTGAGAGTCCCATTTTCTCCTTTTTTGTTAGCTTGTGGTTTCCCTAATTTTTAAGGTGACAGCTGATGTTCTGTTTTTCTGCTGAGCAGCAAGGAAGAGACTGAATTTTTGTCGCTTTTGTTGCTGTTGATTTTTGGTTTTATGTGGTGGGAGGTGTGTTGTGTGTGTGTCTCATTTATGAGGTAGAGCTACCTCAAAAGATAAAATATTAGGAGAGCCTGGGAAAAGCCAGATAGGCGCACACAATTTCCTTACTCCCTGGTCCGCTTTTAGCCTATTTTTGGACTAGTTGGGGGAAAAATGGGCCGAGCTCACACTACCCAAAACCGCCAGGAGCAAGAGTCCCTGGGTCCTGGGCTGGATCCGAACTTGACACCCATGTCCTGAGGAGCAGGTGGCACCAGTGGCTTTGTCTCATCCTGCTCTAAAAATAGAGGGGAGGAGCCAGCAGGCAGTACAGCCATACCTGGGGGCCATGGCCACCCCATGTCACACCTGTGTCCCAGGCCGCACCCAGGGACCTTCACAGGCACCTGCTGTGCCTGCTGAGGGCGCGGGCCGCAGAGAGGCCCCGGGGCTGCCCACGAACGTCAGGGGTGGCCCGCAGCCCCACTCGTCCTCTCTGCCTGGACCTCTGTCCCTCGTCCTCTGCAGGATCCTGCTCTCAGCACTTTCCAACTGGCTTAGCTTAGAAGGGTTCCTTAGATTTATTTACTTATTGATTTACTTTATTTTTTTTTTAAAGGGGGTGGCAGCAACACTTTCCACTACAGAATAACCTCTTGTTTTTCCATGCAATTAACATTGCTCTGTCCTCCCATGATAATAGGTTTATGCAGAAAAACTTGTCAGCTTTTTGTCAGGGCCAGGACATGAAAAAGAGACCTTGCCCTAATTACTAGTTGTAAGCTCAGTACAGGTCTTTAGGATGGACCCGTAAAACCTGGCTATTGTTTTGTTACACATCCGCAACCTGCAGAATTCCTTAGGCCTTCACCATAGTTCCTGCTCAGTATCTCAAAGGTGAGCTCAGTCCCATCTTACTCTGCTCCTCAGGGCTGAGGTGGGTGCTGGTCATCGATGCTGGAATGTCATCATAGGAGTAACCCTGGGAGCTTTGGGAGGCAGAGTAGGGGATGCACATGTGCCAAAATCCTGGCAAGAACACCGGGGTGGCGATGACCAGTCCAGGATTGGCCAGGCGTGCTGCACTTTGCTGGCACGGCCCACCAGCAGGAGGAGCCTGTGGTAATGAGAAAGGCGCCCATCAAAGCCAGCCCTGGAGCGAGCACAGGGACCTGCCTTCTGTGGGCTCCGAGGGGGGCTTTTCTTAAACCAAAGGCCACCGTAGCCGTCATCTGTGCTGGGGTCCTTGGGCGTCCCACTCTCCTACTGGGGACGCCAGTAGCCAGGTTGCTGAAAGATGGCATCATAACACAGTGACACAGCTCCAGGCAGAGCGCTGTGCCAGGTCACCGGCGCGCCGACAGCTCCTTCATGGTGAGAAGCAGAGACGCTCAGGCCAGGCCTCACCCAGCCGCCACCCGCCACCCGCCCCAGCCTTCATTAGCTTTAAATACAGCAGCAATACCCTACCCAGCTTATCAGTGTTCAGGACTGTTTGTGATTTGGATTGTTGCCAGTCCATTGGTGGCTGTAAAGTGCTGATGGCAGTCCACCTGGGTGGGCCCTGTGGACACATCTGGATAGGACATGTTATCACTGGCTTTGTCTCATAGAATCTGGGCCCCACCCCTCCCCGCTGAGCTCTAAAAGCTAGACCCGTGCTCTGCTCCCCAGACCAAGATGAACGCCATGCTGGAGACGCCCGAGCTGCCGGCTGTGTTTGACGGGGTGAAGCTGGCCGCGGTGGCCGCCGTGCTATACGTGATCGTCCGCTGCTTGAATCTGAAGAGCCCCACGGCCCCGCCTGACCTCTACTTCCAGGACTCCGGGCTCTCCCGCTTTCTGCTCAAGTCCTGTCCGCTCCTGACCAAAGAGTGAGTAGCCCTTGCCCATGGTATGCCCGCCTGCCAAGCTGTTTGGCTGGGGTGGTGTTCAGAGAAGAACCTTCTCACGTTGTGTTGTCAAGGTTACCATGTAAAACAGCGTCATGGCTGTTAAAATAGCCACAGTCTACACAGAGGTCTGTGTTTGAATCCTGGAGGGCAGGAGACAGAATCCGATCTTGGTTGCCTGGAATCATCACTCAGGACAAGGACTTTGCAGAAAACACTAGTTGTTTTTAGGTCGATACAGAAAACTTGGTCCATATGCTAGCCCTTGATTAAACGCTCTGTTGACAGTTCTTTTGCTAGGACAGAAAAACTATCCTGACCCAAAATAAAAAGCAAAAATGCAAATTTATGAGTCAGGTACTCTTCATCCCTCGTGTTGAAAAATGGACTGGCATTAGCTCAGAGGGTCCACTCAAACAGATCGCCTTCATTCCCAGTGAACCAGGTGTCCCTGCAGAAGTCAAGGTCTGTGTTTCGGGTGAGCATAGCTTCTGAGAGAGGAAACCCTGCCTGTGAGGGGTGCCTTTCATGTCACACAGACTGTTCAAGAGATGCGTGGTTAAACGTTCTTCTTCTGAGTAACGGTGTCTTCCTTCAGGGCTCCAGCCAAGCCTCATGCATGGCACGGCCCGTGTTCTCCTGGGTCTGACTTCCTCCTTTCTCCTCACTGCTGCTTCACTCTGTGCCTCTTCAAGCTTATTCCATTCTGCCAGGGGTGCCCTATCAGGCGGAAGCTGCCCGGGGAGCGGTCTGTGCGCACTGTGCCCCCTCAGCAGGTGACCCACGCTCAGTGGAGTTTCCGATACTCCGTGGGTATTAGCAGAAGCTTTTCCCTCTGTCCTGATAGCATCTCTCCCCTCCTCTACTGGGGGTGGTGACACTGAGTCAATGACTCTGCTAGGAGCAGACAAATTTGCAACAGACGTGCCTCAGAGCTTGGGTTCTTGCTCGCCTCGTTTGCCTGTCTGATTCATTTTTTTGCGCTGTTAGCCAAGGGCACAGAGCCACTGTGGGCTTTGGGTGTTTGTACGTTCGGGTGCAGTTTCCTCAAGTTGTAACAGTGATGCCGTGGCCTAAAAGCTACTCTTAAGTTGAGAGAGATGTGAAACTGGGTCGTGTTGCCTGATGCTCGAGTGCCATCACAGCGTAAGGTCACCATAGTGGCCTGGTAACTGCCCCTCCTGAGGGGTTTTGATCCAGGGGCTCCACGCCAGCTGTTAGTCACGGACATGTTGTTCTCATAGAGCTGTGTTTGTAGGGGCAGATCTCCTCCCAAAGCGGGTGCACAGACTCTGCATGCTTTTCAAACTGTCCAGCAGTTTTTTCAATACATGACGCCGAGTGAATACCCGGAAGTTCATGGAGGAGGAGCCCAGGTCCGGGAGGAGTAAGTGGAAGCCACACTAGCCTCCTCCCAGGACCAATCTGGAATTACAGCTACACTGTAGGTGCTGGATGGAGAGGGGCTTAGGGGACTAAATGGTAATGAAAAAAATACAATAAAGGTTAAATTGAAAAAAAAAAATTAATGGAGATAATTCTCTGGTCTGGAAAGTAACATTTGCCCCCGCTTTCAGGCTGAGTGGGATCCTGCAGCAGGACCCCCAGTTCCCGCTGGGAACTCAGCCGTCTCAGTTTTGGAGCTTTTGGAAAGCAAGGTGTTAAAAACCCTGTAAGTTTATACAGAGAGGATTGTAAGTCCCCACTCCGCACTGGTTCCTGAGTAATTAGAGGAAGTCCTGGACTGGCTTCACAGGAGCTCTGATTCCATACTAATAGCTCAAAGGGGAAAGGAAAAGCTGATTATGGCAGGGTGTTTTTTTTTTTTAATCTTGTTTTCCTTTAAAAAAAAATAACCCAGAGACATTAAGTTTAATGGTTTCCCTTGCCTTTACCCTCCGTGGCACACTGTCCCTATGAGCCTAAGGGGCTGGCCTGGTGCCACATGCCCTCTGCAGGGGTGGCCCCACCCCGTGCTGGTATGGGGTGCGTCACAGAGCCTCCTCGCCCTTACGGCCCTGTCCCCACCCCTTCCAGCATTCCACCAGCCCTGACGTCAACCAGCTGCTCCCTCCTGGCGAGGCCTGAGTGACAGAGGTGGGAGGTCAGCCGCAACTACGTAGCCGTAAGGTGGGTGTGAAGGGGCAGGTTCCCCGGAAACAGTGTTTTCCCAAGACCTGCCCTTTGGCTGACGGTCCGGCCCCCTCGGAGCAGGTTGAAACAGGAGCGCAGAAGCCGCATTCCCGACACCCAAGCTCTCTGGCTTGAACGTGACAACTGACTAAAGGGCAAAGGATGCGTTTTTCCCTCCATCTTTTCACTGACCTCCTATTTTTTTATTGAGATGCTAATTTTAGGAATACTGGTATCCTGCGTTCATGGAGCATATCACCAAGATGTCTTCACATTATTCTGTGTTCCATATGACTGCATTTTGTATTGGTTAAGTATCCCTCATAGGCATTTACGCCTTTTAACCCTCTTAACAGTCTTGAAGTTGGATTCATTTTTCTTTTCATTTTAAGGATGGGGATACTGAGAGGAGTGGAGAGGGAATGTGAACCCAAGTTTGTGACTCTAGACTTGGTTCTCTTCTCACGTGCGTGCGGGGAGTCGGGCAGAGACTGTCCTCAGAGGGCGGGGGAGGGAAGCCAGGTGGAGGCGAGGGCAGTAGGGGCCGCCTGCCGAGAGCCGAGAGCCTAGCCGGCCTGGCCTGGCCGGAGGAGCCTCCCAGCTCCCTAACGGCCCTGCTGCTCTTTTAACCCTTCTGTCGGAAGCCACTGTCCGTGTTCTTGCATTTCTGTCGCAGCCTCCCGGATGTCTGAAGCTGAGGGCAGGAAACATGTCTTTTATGAGTAACAGTGTTTCTAATGGGACTTGGAAGGTTTTTTCCCTAGAGGAAGCCTGTCTGCAGCCTTCACCAGCCACTGGGCTAGAACGCGCAGCTGAGTGATTTACAGCAGGCTGCCGGCGCTCCGCGGCAGCCCTGTGCCCGAAAGCAGCCGGTTATTATGACTTTCATGCGGGGTCAGGACACTTCCTCTTGCTGTTAGGGGATGGAAAAGGAGCTGCTGAAAGGTGAACACTGTAAACAGGAGAACAGGAGGTGTTTCCCTTTCAGCATTCAAGTCAGTTTTTAAATCTGTTTTAAGGTAATCTGTCTGACCATGTATTAGAAATGAAATTTTTAATGTCTTGAGGAAAACTCTGCTTAGGTGGGGGTGATATGTTTTTGGCTCACTTAGCAACAGACCAATATTTACCTAGTGATTCATTTTTTTTGTTCTCAAGAAGTGTTTGCTTTCAGTGAAACTCGCAGGCTAAAAGTTCAGTTTAGAATTATGAGACAATAGATGACAACACGAGTCTCCATTGTTTTCTGCATAAAAAATGTAATGCATATTCATTTTTTTGAGCTGTCATGTAAATGTAGTAAAATGCAGAGACCTTCAGTATATCTCAGGGCTTTTGCTATGTATTCACTGGGTCACTACCGTTCCCATGGGCTTTTAATAGGAGTGTCCTGAGTCACCTCTGACCCAGTCACCTGCCACCATCCCCCCTCAGCTGGCTTTCTCGAGCAGTCCAGCTCCCAGGGCACTGCAGCGTCGCCCCCGCCTAGCTGTCCTGTCTTGCCGGCTGTGGCGTTCTGCCTCTGCCCATGAAGTGCCAGCCCCGTAGCCCCCGGCCACCCCCAAATCTGCTCTTCCCTTCTCTCCCCAAAATACTCCTTATCCTGTAAGCAATCTTAAATAGCATGAGTTCTGAGAAGCTTCCCTTGACCTTGGGGAAGGGAGGGAGAAAGAGAGGGAGAGAAACATCGATGTGTGGTGGCCTCTCGCGCAGCCCTACTGGGCACCTGGTCCGTAACCCAGGCATGTGCCCTGACTGGGAACCAAACTGGCGACCCTTTTGTTTGCAAGCTGGTGTTCAATCCACCAAGCCACACCAGCCAGGGCAAGAGCCACACTCTTGATGAGGCAGAAGAGGATCCCTAGAGCTTCCAAATCCTAAGTATAACCCCATTCTGTCTGCGTCTTATTTACCATAGACAGAGGTGAGGGAGTCCCCGTTTTGGCAAATGCCATGTGTGCCCTGGTAAAGGAAACCACACTGTCCCCAGCCCATGCAAGCAGTGCTGCTGGGCACTCCAGGGAGTCGGGGTGCCTTTAGCTCTGATGGAGTTTTGTTTATTGGGAAGTCACTACCCTGTCTCTGAAAAAAGATGGATTGGTTTCTTTTTGTCTTATATTAAGTCAGGACAACCCCAGGTAGATGCATAAAAGCAGTTTGCAGCCTCTGCCCTTCCCTTTATCCCAGCTGAAGTTTCCATGCAAAGCAGGGAGGCAGCAGGCACCCATTTCTGGAAGCCTTCAGGTAAAACACAAACCTTCCCTGTGGGAAGCCAGGCCCACCAGCGTGGGTAATGGTGCAGCTAAAGCCACAGGCATTTAGGAGGCGCGTGGTGGAGGGCTTGGCTGCCCCACAAGCCTAGAGGTGGGTAGCTGGGGTGTCCTCACTGAGACACCCGGGAGCCCCTGCGGGGTCCAAAGATGGGAAGCAGTGTGATGCAAGCCACAGCCCCACGCCTGGGGGCCCTTTCTTCCCCGGAGACGTACACTGGCTTTCTTTGGCAACTAGCTGCCACCTGTCTTAATAAGAACTGGGTGCGATTGTTCTCCGCGCCTCGGAGAGAGGCCTGAAACCTGGCGGGGAGGCTGCTTTGGCAACAGCAGGCCAGGAAGAGCAGTTGACTCCTGTGCCCCAGTGCCCTCGCTGAGCATTCCTTCCTAGGAGAATGGCAGCAGCCCCGCGCCCTTGCCCTTGCCCTTTCCGTGGGTCGCAATGGCTGCATCCTCGGTGGTTCTCCCCGTGCCTCTCTTCACTCACCAGAGTACAGATCCCAAGCAAGAGTCCGACCGAAATGCTGAGCTCATCACAGTTAGTTCCCATGGTTAGTTTCCTGCTAGGAGTCCCCCATT